TTCATGTATTGGTCATATTAATAGTACTAATAATATACATGAAAAAATTACTTGATGGTGATTGGTTGATAGCAGTGCAAGTGTAACACCAGTGCAAAAATTTGTAACACTAGTGCAAATTTAGAATCCTGATTGGTCTATATAACAATAGTTACAAAGGAGAGCCAATCAAATTGCAAATGACGTGTTTACAGTGAGTAGCAATTTTGGAGGAAAATTTGAAAACAAAATAATGGCGGCCATTAATCAAAATCAAAGGTTTGCTGAAGTAACTCAAAAAACAATTGAAGCTTTAAAAAATGTCTAAAAAAAAAACAAAATACAAGCAAGAGCACAACTTCCTGGCTCAATGTTTGGAATACCTGATGTAAGAGAAGCAACATATATACAAGAAATAGAGAAGATTGATCCCGCTGAGCTCAACATCCTCTTGGAGAGATTTTACGCAGAAGTCAGAACAAAAAATGGAGAAGATTACGAGCCAGACAACCTACGAGTAATGATAGCTGCGCTTGACAGAAATCTCAAAGATAAAGGTTACAAGTACTCGATAATCCGAGACCGAGAATTCGCTTCGTCAAAACAAGTCCTTGAAGGAAAAGCAAAACTACTCCGCCAAGCTGGACAAGGAAAAAGGCCAAACAAAGCCAGGCAGCTCATGCAAGCTGAGGAAGAAGTGCTCTGGGAGAAGGAAAAACTAGGAGGAAAAAAACAGAATCTTTAATAAATACCATGTGGTGGTTACTTACCCAGCATTTTGGTCTCCGCGGCCGTCAAGAACATCATGACATGAACATGCAAGATTTCCGCCTCGGCAAAGCCGACGAGCAGGATTTTGTCGAGTTTTCAGAAGGTCCCACAAAGACCAGAGCTGGTGGTCTAAGCACCAAATCAAGAGATTTCCTTCTAAGAATGTTTGAAACTGGAGGTGAACGCTGTCCTGTGCAACTATTCAAAGAATATCAAAGTCGGCGACCATCTCAGTTACAGAGCGAAGGCCCATTTTACTTGTCAATAAAACACAAGACGATTTATGGTACACGGTCCAGCCCATGGGAGTAATAATAATAATAATAATAATAATAATAATAATAATAATAATAATAATAATAAGTTTATTGAACACTTCTTGCAGTTAAAAACTGAATAAACAGTGCAAAATACAATTCTTAAGAAGCAATATATAATTAATTACAATGCAAAATACAATTCTTAAAACTAYATACAATTAATTACAATATCTAAAGGTAAYAAAGTCCGAGGTTCTTTTGGTTCTTTTAGWTTCAATAGTTTCTTTTAAATTTCCAGTTGATCTAAGGTTATAGTTAATTGTTTTTATTGTTGGCTTGGGTAGAAGAAACGAAATAGGGTTACTAGGATCGTTTTTCATCTCAGTGGTCAGCTTCTGACATAATTTATCTCTACGGCTATGCAAAGTTGGAAAGTTCGTTTGGTTCAAAGACTGCGTATAGGTGCTACCAGGGTATATGATCTTCAGTGCTCTTTTCTGGATGGACTCAAGGGCATCAGAGAGTTGCTGGGACATGTCTTGCCATACAGGTGCTGCGTACTCCAAAATTGATCTAACATTGGATATATAGACTTTAAGGATATGCTCTGGTGGTACATTTGCACGTTTTAAAAGTCGTAAAGCATATAATCGCTTGGAAGCTTTGGCGATTATATATTCAACATGTTTGTTCCATTTAAGATTCTCACTAATTATAACACCTAATAACTTAAAKGAYTTTACTTTTTCCACTTGGTGACTACCAATGCAGATTGGGCGCATTACAATGTTAGGGTTTAACATGAAATTGATGTACATTTCTTTGCATTTTTTGGGATTTAATATCATTCTGTGATCTTTGCAGTAGTCGTGGATTTCTCTGGCAACTAGATCTAACATACTGATAGAGTTTCGTGGGATGATTTCCACAGCGGTGGTATCGTCTACAAACTTTGTGCGTAGTTTCCAGTTTCTTAGAAACTTATCAATCATAATGTTAAATAGAGTCAAGCCAAGTTTAGTTCCTTGTGGAACACCTCCATTTACATGGTTCCAAGTAGATACCGAGTGGCCAATGCGAACAGCTTGCATTCGATTTGTAAGGAATGATTGGATCCAAAGTATTAGATATCGATTATGTAAAACCCTTTCGTGAAATCAGTGAAGAAAATACGTGCCGAAGCGTTTCCAGTGTCAGTGGATTCATGTACAGCCTGCAACAGGTACATCAAGGCATGAGTGGTGGAGTGCCTGCGTTGGGCGTACTGACGAGGATCGATGTCGTCAGATACCATTCCCCATTTTCGAATCTTCCTTCTTCTTCTTCTTCTCCTCTTCAAACAACCTTAGCTTCAATCTTCTTCTTGCCCTTTTTCTTCAAGAGTAGAGGCTATCCGGCCTTCGATTTCTCCGCCTTTAGCATATAAGAAACGAATGTTAAATTCTAGTTTTGTAATTATCTTAAGTAATTATACAAAAGTTAGATAGGAATTGTATTGCCGCTGAAATAAAACGCAGATACTTGTCAATAGAAGCGTACGTGGATATGGCCTTTGCGCTTAACAAGAAAGCACTAAGGGGGTGTGTTTACAGTTGCTATTTCATATATTTTTTTATTACTCTTTATTCACGATTTTCGTATCTACTGTTATGCGAAAATCACGATTCATTCATGGTCCTATTTGATATTCAATCATGAGTATTACTGTTGTTCATAGATTCAGGAATCACTGAAACAAGCGAATGATGATCACACCGCACCAAATCATACGCTACACCAAACTGCGTGTATACAATGCCGGTATCACTAACACAGATTCTATATGAGTTCAAAAAACTAACAGTACTTTTGCGCAGCGTAAGCATGCTGTAATAAAGGCATTATTCGTTATGTATGGCGAGATTATGTCCCGCATGCCGTATGATCCGATGTCGGTCGCTCATTCATACGAAATCCATTCTTAATAACATAAAATGAAATTATCAAAATTTACTTACCAATTACCATTGCCCCAGAGGCTAATTAATCTCTGGAGATGAAGGGAAATCTATGTCCCAAAAGCCTGGCGGGGTTGGCGGGACAGGTCTGTGAGCCGATCTATGCCTGCACGTGGCCTGTACTCTTCTATGTCGCTCCTCCGGGGGAAAAGAATCATAGCACTAGAACAGTGATGAAAATCAAATAAATAGGTGCTGATTCAGACGAAACTAGGAACGATTTTAGACCGCCTCACATTCTGTCACAATTTGAATGCTGGATCTTTTTAGAATAACGCAAAACCCCTAGTTTATATTTATAAAATGAACGCGTATTGGCCCGCATTATATAATACTCTACATAACATCGCCGAGTATAAATACCTCTTTGCAGTCTCTACATGTATATGCAGGGTCTTTCCATCGTTACTTGTTTCCATCAAGTAAGCGGATAAAGTGCAGAGAGAAGCAAGCAGATAAATTCAAGTAGCTTCAAGTGGTATTTGAGCGCTCACTAAACTGACCTCATTTAGTGACCGACGGTTGGCTATTAATAGCATGTTAAAGTAGTCATTACCTGTAAATTTTAGTCCGATTTCTTTAACAAAAAGGGATTTAATATGGAAGTTATTCTTTTTAAGCAACACAATTATAAATCAAGCTATAACAGTTTAATAACTACTGTAATTTATGTTACACATGCATAATATTGAGTTTGGGTTTCCTGTGGCGTAGCAAAACAATCAAGGCGTTCCTAGTGCTCCGTCGTTGTGATTAGTATTCCTGTACTGTATTGGAGGAAAAGGTGTAAATAATCTATACTTAACCAATTACTTCTCTGGCGGGGTTTTCAAAATTCATAACACAATGATTTTACCGTTGGTGCTCATTCGATTTGTGCCTTCAATGGAAGCGGGAAGCCAACGGAATCAACGATCTTGGTCGCTCGATAGAGTGACTTCGCCATCTCTGGATACAAATAAACATTGGTATTTACTCTCCAGCGAACTCTGTGGATACAAACCTAATCATTTTGCAAAACAAAATGTATTTTCGTATTTCCCTGATGAAATTGCTTGTGTAAATCTACGCAATCTACAATGTGCTTCTGTTGGCTGCAAGCTCAACCGACAACCAAAGCAAGTGTACGTGGTCTCTTCATTTGGTCTTGTCTGTGCACTTCTAAGACAAAGAGAATATCCAAAAGATGGATTTGTAAAGTCAGAAGAGTTCTATAAGGTCATTTCTAACTTGAATTCTGTTTCGTCAGTTGTGGGTTTAATTTCACTGATATCAAACATATCTTTATTGACCAGTCACGGTACAATACAAGTGCGTTCGAATCCTATTAAGAAGTTACATTATTAAGAAGCGTATAGTAATATACAGAGAATAAACGAAATTGATAGTTACCCAGTGACTCGGCAGTGTCCACAGCTAACGAAATAACTTACATTAGCATTATGACGTCATTATTACGTAGCACATTAAAGAACAATTAACTTTATAATTAATTACAGAATTTCTTANTCATTCTCATCGATGATAAAATCTTTCATTTCTGAATCAAAACGTTCGACACACGCTGTTTGCCTTTGCGAACAACAAACTCTGTCCCTGGTAACGATCCCAAACGCCTTTGCGGGGCGAAACTCGCCCCACTCCCCAGCTCGTTTATGAAAACGGCAATTGGTCTAAGTATTATTAGTAATGATAGTAATGCTGCTAAGTCATGTAGTAAATTTATTTCAGCCCATATATGGAACATTGATAACAATCAGCGACCTCCAACTAAGTGGATGAAGTATGGCTTGGAAAGTGAGGCAGAAGCAGTGATAAAGTATCAACAACAAACAAACTCTGTTGTTTCTTCAACAGGACTATGGGTCAACCCCGAGTTTCCTTATATTGCGTGCTCTCCTGATGGGCCTATAGGGGATGATGGTCTTTTAGAAATTAAGTCTCTAAAGATATTCCATGACTACACCATAGACAGAGTAATTAATGACAATGGAACACTAATCTCTAAAGACACTCTTAACAGACAATGTTTTAGGATACAAGATGAAAAGTGTGTACTAAAGAAATCCCACAGTTACT